TGCCACAGGTGTGCACCAGGTGTGTCACAGGTACACTCCTCCCCCCAAGCCCATGCAGCGGTGCCAGGTGTGCCACAGGTGCCAGGTGCCATCAGTGCCCCAAATCCATGCAGAGAGCGCCAGGTGTGTCACAGGTGTGTCACAGGTGTGTCACCCCCAGATCCATGCAGCAGGTGTGTCACAGGTGTGTCACAGGTGTGTCACCCCCAGATCCATGCAGCAGGTGTGTCACAGGTGTGATGGCCCCCCCAGTCCATGCAGCAGCTGCAGCGGGTGCAACAGGCGCCAGGTGTGTCACAGGTGCCAGGTGTGATGGATGTCCCAGGTGTGATGGATACCCCAGGTGTGACAGGAGCCACGGACGTCCCAGGTACCCCAGGTGTGCCGAATGTCATGGATCAGGTGTCCCAGGTGTGCCCCAGGTGTGCCAGACACCCGCCCCAGGTGTGATGGATGCCCCACGTACCCCAGGTGTGATCAACACCCCAGGTGTGATGGACACTCCACGTGTGACAGGTGTGATGGAGACCCCAGGTGCGCCCCAGGTGTGCCAGGTACCACACCCACCCCAGGTGTGACCCCTCCCCGTCTCACCTGTGACCCCACCCGAGGTGTGCCCCCACCCCTCAGGTGTGCCCCCACCCCTCAGGTGTGCCCCCACCCCCTCTCACCTGTGCCCCCACCCCCTCTCACCTGTGCCTTCCCCCGAACCCTCCTCCTCCTCCTCCGTCGTGTCCCGCGCGGCTCCACCCGGTGCCCATCCCCCCGCGGGGGTGGGGGTGGGGCGGGGGGGTCTCCTCCCACTCGGGGCGCCCCCTCAGCGCCCCCCTCCCCCTGGGGCGCCTCTCGGGCCCGTCCTGGGGGGGTCCCTCGGCCGCCTCCGGGGGGTGGTCGCTGCTGCTCCGGCTGTCCACCTCCTCGATCCCGGAGTCCGTCACCACCTCGGGACCCTCGGGGGGAGGGGGTCCGGCCCCCCCCGACAGCACCCCCGAGACCCCTCCCCCGACCCCTCCCCCTCCTCCGCGGGGTCGGGGGTCGTGGGCGGCGCCCCCCGGCCCGCTCTGGGTCAGCGTGGCCACCTCGCTGTCGTACGAGGTCAGGCTGGAGGCGGCCGAGTCCCCCGGGGGAGGGGGCGGCGGAGGGGGGGGTCCCTCGCCGGGGTGGGGAGGGGTCTCGAAGCTGTTGGCGAATTCCAGCGGCGGGGGGAGGGGCTCGGCCAGCAGCAG